AAGTGCTTGCAGAGTTGAGCTATTTCTTTCGCCAGCTTTGTGCAAAGGAGCTTGATCGGTCCGTCGTTCGTGACTTGGAAAAAGCGGCACCTGTGTTGGTCTATAAGTTGGAGAAGATCTTTCCACCCGGCTTTTTCTTGCCGATGCAGCATTTGATTGTGCACCTCCCCTATGAGGCACGTATGGGGGGGCCCATGCAGGCCCGGTGGTGCTATCCAATCGAGAGATGTCTGAAGACTGTTCGAACAAAATGTAGAAATAAGGCCAAAATTGAGGCTTCCATTGCAGAGGAAACTGTTAGGGAGGAGGTGGGAACCTTCACACAGAAATACTACAAACCGAACCTCCTTCCTAGCGTGCATAATCCACCCCGTCGTTACATTGCTGGCGAAAATGAATCGAAGCTCAGCCTTTTCCAAGGGCAGCTCAGAAGCGCAAGTGCATCGACCACTAAGCAATTGAAAAATGAAGAGTGGCGCAATATCATGCTGTATGTGTTGACCAACCTTGTCGAGGTGCAGTCGTTCATTGGGTAAGTTCTCAACCCCCTTGTTTCGATACGCCGTCACACTATTTCGCATCCAAACCCCTTATTTCTCTTTGGTACAGGGAATTCACTCGTCAAACCTGGCAAGGACGAACGGATCCAACCCCACAGGAAACTGATACCCTTCTTTCAAAGGGTGCGGGACCAGGGAGGCCCGATTTCATTTCTTGGTTCAAACGGAAGGCCCAAACTGATGTTACTATAAGTGACGAGTTAAGACAGGTTGCAAATGGCTGTGCCATTAGGGTCAAGTCATTTAACGGCTATGACGTGAATGGATATCGCTTTCAAACAACATGCTACAAGCAGAGTCGGCCCAATCGAAAGACCACAAATAGCGGAGTTTTAACACCAGGCACTGATGACGTCCAATATTATGGAAGAATTGAGGAAATCTATGAACTTTCATTTCATGGTTCCAAATCTTTTAATCCTATCATATTCAAATGCCACTGGTTTGATCCTGGAGCAACGAGACAGACCCCTAATCTTGGGCTAGTGGAGATTCAACCAGATTCCGTCTACCTAGGAAAAGATGTCTATATTGTGGCTCAACAGGCCTACCAGGTGTATTATATGCCATACGCGTGCCAAGACGAAGAGCTTAAGGGTTGGGCTATTGTGCACAAGGTATCACCACATGGTAAACTACCTGCCCCAAACGATGAAGATTACAACTTCAATCCAAGCACATATGAGGGAGAGTTCTTTCAAGAAGAGGGGCTACAAGGAAGCTTTGTGATAGACTTAACCGAAGCGATAGAAATGGAAGTAGACAATGAAAGGGTTGATGATGAGGATGCTGGAGATGAGGTCCAAAATGTGGATGACCTACAAATGCTTGAGCGATTACGTTTAGGCAATGACAATGAAGACAACATTCCTCCTTCAATTAGTGTTGATGATTTGGACAATGTTGATAGCGATGATGAGACCTATGATCCAACTAATCCAAATAATGACGATTATTTCTAATAAATGTAATACTAAAGTTGATTATCATTTTGCATCTATTTCTAATTAAGTGTTTTGTAAGCATGAATATTATTTCTAATACATGTAATACTTTTCTTTTTTTTCAGGTGATTCAACAAAGATGGCGGGTGGGCGTCACAGGCCCGTCAGGTCACTTTACCAAGCGGGGGAGGAGGCCGAGGGGTCGGACGCGAGGAGGAGGAGGAACCCGAGGAGCAGGAGGCCCCCAGCACGTCTCCAGGTGTCGGAGGAGGCGAAGCCGGTGACGCCCGTGGAGAGGGCGCATGAGGAGGAGGAGCAGGAGGAGGAGGAGGTTTCGTAGATGCCCCAAGAGGGCGACGAGGAGGAGGCGTCCTTTGACGAGCAGGAGGCGTTGGCGGGAGGCACGGGTTCCTCTTCCTCTGCTCTGAGGGTGTACCTGCGAGGTCCGCGAGCCTCCCTGCTTTTCCGCTTCCTCACCGCCGCCTAGTGATTCGCCCTGAAGGGCAAAAGTAAGTAAACTTGACATTTTATTTGCCCCTACTTCATATGATAAGTTCAAAGAAAGATGAACTACTAATTTTTCTTAATCACATGTGCAGGAACTGGGTGGTTGTGTCCGGTGCTGGTGCACGCACCCCCAATGGCATCCTAGGTCTTCTGTGCAGGCAACACTACCCCGGCGTCGTCACGTACAAGAACAACACGTTGGCGGCCTATTCGTTTGACCACTACGCCATCGCCTTGCTGATCACGGAGCCGTACCCCAACAAGGCAAAGCACGGGTCATTGGGGAGTTCAGGTAAGTCTCCTCGCATAGCATTGCTTCTTTCATTGAACTTTTTCTTTAAAAAATCCATACAAATATCGTGTTTGTTTGCAGGCTTATTTCAAATGCGAGGAGAGGATTTGAGGGTAGGAAGGATCAGTGGCGACCAAAGCCTGCAAAAAGCTCGTCGTCGACATGATTCACGAGGCGAAGATCCGGCCGTTGTCACCTACTACGGGTCAAAGCTTGGATGAGGGTCAAAAAGGCCGACGCCGAGAACCATGGACTGACCAGGAGCAGTACATTGAGGTACATGAGAACATCCAGATTGATTCGTTTTGAGAATAAGTAGGTTTAATTTGATCATCTTATATGTCAATTACCGGATGACATGCAGATGATTCCCTCGGTGGTGCGGATCGTATCCCGAGGCGTGGGAGAAGATCGTGGACAACTGGTTTACGGAGGGTATGCCTCGACGCACAATGCTGCAAAGGGAACGACGTTTGGAGATGCAAGGACCAGCGCACCATCAAGGCAGCCGCAACCTCGCCGGATCAGAGACGCATGGGTACACGAATTCATTTATCTATTCGATGCTCAATTATGACTGATTTCTAATCTTCTTGATGTCTTTCTCGTAGAGGGCGGCACATCAAGGCCGAGGAGTCTTTCGGACTTCCAGACATGGTGCATGTCCCACAAGGAAAGGCGACGTCCGATGTCTCCTTCACCTAGAGGACGGGCCCCAGGAGTACACGAACCCGGCGTCCACACCCGCATCAGCCGAGTACGTCGGCGGCAAGGTCAGTCCATGGGCAGACTTGACCCGTGCACGCAGGAGATTGATACGGAGCTTGTCATGAGGTTGGGAGGAGGGAAGAAGCATAGCCGCATGTGGATTGCCGATGGCACAATCGACTCGACCGCTGTCCCCGACCTCTCCACGATCCGAGCCCGGAGCACGAGCGAGAGCCCGGCCATACGCACACGGCCGACCGTTGCACAGCAGCGGGTCGACGTCCTCGAGGTAATTTCAGTTTGACTCGTCGTATATTGACTTTTACACACCGTAATTAGCTATGCATTACTGAAACATTTGAGTGAAATGTTGCAGGCCCGGTTCGAAGAAGAAGCTCGGCAGCGTCAAGAGCTGCAGGCGCAGCTGATGTCCCAGCGTCAGACCTATGAGAGTAGGTTGTCGAGCATCACGGGCTTTCTTCAAAGCCTTGGGCAACATACGGGTCTTGCTGTGCCACCTGAGCTGCTCGCTCCACCACCTCCACCTGCAGCCTCACCCTAGGATGGACCTACACCTGTGAGTATGAAAGTTAATTGCAGTCTCTTACATGCAAGTAATTTCTAATTAGCTAGCCAAGTACATGTCTAACACATAGAATATATACTCCTTTGTGCAGCCTCAGTCGGCGGCTTTCAATAATCCGCCTAATCCTTAGGATCCGTATCAGTCACCGCCCGATCAAAGGCGTATTTGGTAATGAGTTTGAACTTGTCCATGTTCATGGAATTGTGGTAATAAACTGGATGTTAGATGATGAACAACTTTTGAACTTGTGAATTTTGATGTGATATATTCAGACACTTATGTTTGTGACTTCTAAATGGTGTTTGTGATATGTAAGTGATGAATGTCATGGATTTGAAGAATGTGATGAATATCTATGAAATTTTCTGTTTGAATGTGTGATGGAAGTGTTGGAATGTAAAAACAAGAAAAAAATAGGTAATTATAGACGCTTTACCGAGTGTGACACTCGGCAAAGGCCTCTTTGGCGAGTGCAATGGCCACTACACTCGGCAAAGCTGGCAAAAACTGGAGGAAAACACCAGATTTCCCAGCTTTGCCGAGTGTAATTGCAAGGACACTTGGCAAAGCTGGGCTCTTTGCCGAGTGTTAGGCCACGGCACTCGGCAAAGGGGAAGGCTTTGCTGAGCGTCACCGCAGACACTCGGCAAACAATTTCGACAAAGCTGGGTTCTTTGCCGAGTGTCAGGCCACGGCACTCGGCAAAGGGGAAGGCTTTGCCGAGTGTCACCGCAGACACTCGGCAAAGGATTCCTTTTTTAAAAAAAATAAAAAAATTTCTTTGCCGAGAGCCGACACTTGGCAAATAATTTCAGAGAAAAAATTATATAAATTCTTTGCCGAGTGTCGTCCTTGAGACACTCGGCAAAGCAACCGTCATGATAGCGCACCGTCAACGGCTACTTTTCTTTGCCGAGTGTCCGGTCGACACTCGGCAAGGGCTTTGCCGAGTGCCCGACAAATGACACTCGGCAAAGAAGGCTTTGCCGACTGTTTTTTCTCCGAGTGGCCTATGCCGAGTGCAGCGCTCGGCAAAGTCCCTGTTTCCAGTGGTGCATGGTTCTCTGCGTTTGTATTTGTACGCTGTTTGCAGGGTTATGACGAACAAAAACCTCTCTGGCACGCTGTCGCCGGCGGTCGGAAAACTCAGGACGCTGCGGTATCTGTAAGACAAAAGATGTAGAATTTCTATGTTAGTCCTGTCCGGAACATATGTAGTAGGAGTGAATTTTTAGGGAACTCTGAGGAGCCTTTCAATTCTAGAGTGAGATTCCCTTGAAATTCCCAGGCTGTACTAATTTTTTAACACATTCAGTTCGTTGCATGCAGCCATGCACTTCCTACTTGCTGTTGTGAGCTGTGACTTGTGAGGAAATGATGAGTTTGTTTTCAAATTTTGGCAGGTTGTTAAGCCATAATGCTCTTTCTGGCCCTATCCCTGACACCGTAGGCAGGATGAGGCAGCTTGAAGTACTTGACCTGTCAAACAATCATTTCAGTGGAAGCATCCCAAGTACACTGGGTCATCTGGCCAAACTGCAGTACCTGTAAGACTACTAAATCTTCCTGATGCCAACATTATATCCAGACATATCTGTATCTCAGTTCTGTAGATTATCTTTAAATCTGAAGATTGATCGAGTCACATGATCTTTATTTTATCGGCCTCTTGTCTCTTTCCTCCAGGAAATTGAACAATAACAGCTTATTTGGACCTATACCCGAATCATTAGCCACTGATGCTCCCATGATCTTCAGCCTGTACTTTCTATTGACAACCTTCTTTTTATCATTGCTGCATTGTTCTTTGAATGAATATGTCCAGTTCTCACTGTGTGAGTGTGAGCTTTACCATATTCCTCATTTCTAAGAAACAAAAGTTACTTATGTTCTACAGGGATGTTTCCTTCAACAACCTGAGTGGTCGGCCGACTTTTCGAACATGGAATGTCTTGTAAGTGATCTCAGTGTTAGCATGTTATGGTAGGCTCCACTAATTGTGGATGTAATACCAGCGTGTGCGGTAGGCTTGTTGCCACCCCAGCTGTATATATATACATGTACATTGATATGGAATACAATCAATCTTTCCACATATCCTTTACATGGTATCAATCACGTTACGATCCTATTCTTCCGCACCCCGCGCCGTCGCCGATCCGATCGCCACGCCACCGCAGACTTCGTCGCCGGACGTGCCGCCGATCCTATCGCCAGCGCCCCTACCCTGATCGCCCGCCCTGTCATCGGATCGGCGGCACCGCTGATCGTATTCCTCTCGCCGCCTGTGGCCACCTCCTGATCGTGTCCCTGATGGCGGACGACGATGACGCTGCCGCGGCCGCCAAGGCCGCCGAAGATCGTCGCCTTGCCCAGGAAGCCGAAGCCTGTCGTCTCGCGGCCGAGGAAGCCGCGCGTGCTGAAGAAGCACGTCGCGCCGAGGAGGCCCGCCTCCGCGCCGTCGCCTTGGGCGAGTACGAGGCTGCCCACGAATCCATCTGGGCGCAGGCCACCGCCGTCGTCAACGTCAAAGCCCTCATTCCCATCGTGCTCGATCACGCCACGAACACCTACACCAAATAGCGCGGCCTGTTCCACACCGTCCTCGGCAAATACGCCTTGACTCGCCACGTTCTTGAGGACGAGACCTTCCCTGAGCGTCCGGCATGGGTGCAGGCGGACTGCGTCATCTTGACGTGGATTTACGGCACTGTCTCCAGCGACTTGCAGCAGTCGCTCATGATGCGGCAGCGCCCCGCCCGTGAGGCTTGGTGCTACCTCGAGGACGAGTTCCTCGGGCAGAAGGAGTCCCGCGCCCTCCTCCTCGCAACGCAGTTTCACAACTTCCGTCAGGACTCCCTGACGATCACCGACTATTGTCGTTGCCTCGAGTCTATGGCCGCGTCCCTCGCCGAGTTCGGCGATCCTATTGGAGATCGGCAGATGGTGCTCACACTTCTTCGTGGCTTGAGTGGCAAGTTCCGCCACATGGTGTCCATCCTCAAGATGCACCGCCCATTCCCGACCTTCGCGGAGGCTCGGACACACCTCCTGCTGGAGGAGATGGAGATCGACGCTCGCCCACCTTCGCTGCCCTTGGCCCTCATCACCACAGCACGACCAGCAGCGCCCGGGCCACCTGCAGCGCCACGCCAAGGGGCGCCAACGCCTCCTCTGCGTCCCCCTGGCGCGCCTTCTGGTGGCCAGCGCAACGGCCGCCGTCGCGGCCACGGTGAGCGGGGTGGCCCTCAGCCACCGCCCGGTGGCGCACCACCCGCCGCCCATGGCAGCGTGCTGCCCGGTGGGCACCCATCCTTCGCGCATCCCTGGGCAGGCACTCTGCAGATGTGGCCCTATGGGCGACCATCACCAGCCCCGACGCCACCGGCCTTCACCGCTGTTCCACAGTACGGCGGCCCCTTCAGCGGCATCCCCGGCGGTGGCGTCTACGGGCCCAACTACACCTCTCCGTCCCCGCCATACGTCTACGGGGGAGCTACGCCCTCACCACCGGCGTTCCAAGGTCCCCCGCCGACCTATCAGCTGCCCGCGCCGACACCCTGGAACCCCGCCCAAGGAGGCTCATGGCACCAGGACTCCCTGGTGCAGTCCTTCAACACCATGACGCTCACACCACCGGCACCGTCCGAATGGTATGCCGACTCCAGTGCCGGTTCCCACATGACTGCGGACGCTGGTAAACTGTCCACCATCTCCTCGCCATCATCTTTTACACCTTCATCTATCATTGTGGGAAATGGTGCACTTCTTCCTATCACCGCCACCGGATCACACACTTTTTCTTTTCCGCATCGCAATCTTGTTCTTAACGATGTTTTGGTGTCTCCCCACATTATTAAGAATTTGATTTTCATTCGTCGTTTCACCATCGATAATCACTGTTCTATTGAATTTGATCCATTTGGCCTTTCTGTGAAGGATTTGCACACCAGGAACGTGATCGCCAGGTGCAATAGCTCTGGCGACCTCTACCCGTTCTACCCACCCACCACCAGCACCTCTGCATTCATCGCCGCACCCACTTCTCTTTGGCATCGTCGTCTCGGGCATCTTGGGCGTGAAGCTCTGTGCAAGCTTATTAGCTCCAGTGTTATCTCTTGTAATAAAGATGATCTTCACCATCTATGTCATGCGTGCCAACTCGGTCGTCACACATGACTACCTTTTGGATCATCTAGCTCTAGAGCTCTTCATAATTTTGATTTGATACACTGTGATCTTTGGACATCCCCTATTGTTAGTGTGTCCGGTTACAAATATTATCTTGTGATTTTGGATGATTGTTCACACTACATTTGGACCTTTTCGCTCCGCCTAAAATCCAAGACGTTTTCCACCCTTTCCAATTTTTTTACTTATATTCGCACGCAGTTTGGCACCACCATCAAGAACGTCCAGTGTGACAATGGCCGTGAATTCGACAATTCTCCGGCCCGCACGTTCTTTCTCTCCCATGGCGTTGCACTCCGCATGTCATGTCCATATACTTCTCAGCAAAATGGAAAGGCCGAACGCTCTCTTCGCACCATTAATAATATTTTGCGTTCCCTTTTGTTCCAGGCTTGTCTCCCTCTGGTTTATTGGGTTGAGGCTCTTCACACTGCCACATACCTTGTCAACCGACTCCCCACAAAAACCCTCGCCTTCTCGACACCCTATGCCCACCTCTATTCCACCCAGCCCTCCTATGACCATCTCAAAGTTTTTGGGTGCGCTTGCTACCCCAACATGTCCTCCATAGTGCCCCACAAACTTGCCCCTCGTTCCTCCCTATGCGTCTTCCTCGGCTACTCCTCGGAACACAAAGGCTATCGGTGTCTCGAGCTCCAGTCGAACCGCATTCTCATTTCTAGACATGTCGTTTTTGACGAATCATTCTTCCCATTCGCTGACATGTCTACCACGCCCATGGCATCCTCCGCCTTGGACTTCCTCCTTGATGAACATGATCTCACCGCTCCAGTCTCTAGAGCTCGGTTTGTGCATGCAGGTACACCCGCTACTCCGGTGCCGCACGTTGTGCATGGGGCTGTACCGGCACCGCACGTTGTGCATGGGGCGCCCGCTACTCCGGCGTCGCACGTTGTGCATGGGGCTGTAGAGGCGCCCATGTCCCCTCTAGCGCTGGGGACGCCTGGCTCCCCGTCGACCGGCGCTGCTGCCCCTATGCATCCCACACAGGCTGCTGCCAGCAGCGCCCCCTCCACCTCGTCGAACGTGCCGCCCGGTGCTGCTGCCCCTGTGCATCGCGCACGGGCTGCTGCCAGTAGCACCACGGCAACCGGTCTCACAGCTGACACTCGACCGGTCTCCATCGCCCCTGTCACCAATGCGCACTCCATGCGCACGCGTGGCAAGGCCGGTATCGCACAGCCTGTGGATTGCCTCAACCTCCACGCTGTGCCTATGTCGCCACTACCACGCTCCGTTCGTGATGCACTGTCAGATCCCAATTGGCGCTCCGCTATGCAGGCTGAGTATGATGCTCTGATCGCCAATGACACCTGGAGTATTGTGCCTCGACCTCCTAGAGTCAATGTCGTAACCGGCAAGTGGATTTATCGACACAAGTTGCTCGCAGATGGGTCTCTTGATCGCCACAAGGCACGCTGGGTCCTCCAGGGCTTTACCTAGCGACCAAGTATGAATTATGATGAGACGTTCAGTCCAGTTGTCAAGCCTGCGATAGTTCGAGTTGTTCTCTCTCTGGCTATATCTCAGAACTAGCTTATTCATCAGCTGGATGTGAAGAATGCGTTCTTACATGGCACTCTCACTGAGACAGTGTACTGCGTACAGCCCTCTGGCTTTGTGGATTCATCTCGTCCAGATTTTGTCTGTCGGCTCAACAAGTCCTTATATGGTCTAAAGCAGGCCCCTCGTGCTTGGCATCACAAGTTCGCCTCACATCTTATTTCCCTTGGATTTGTTGAAACCAAGTCAAATACTTCGCTCTTCATATATCACCGAGGGTTCGACACGGCTTACTTGCTGCTATATGTGTATGACATTGTTCTCACTGCTTCCTCTGCTGGTTTTCTCAAGTATATTATTGGGGCTCTCCAGCGTGAGTTTGCTATGACAGACACGGGCCAACTTCATCATTTTCTAGGCATTTCCGTGACCCGCTCTACCGATGGTCTGTTCCTCTCTCAGCGGCAGTACACACAGGATATTTTGGAGCACGTCGGGATGAGTGACTGCAAGCCGTGCAACACACTTGTTGATGTACACTCCAAATTATCTGCAGATGGTCCTCCCGTTGCTGACTCTACATAGTACCATAGCCTGGCTGGCGCCCTGCAATATTTGACCTTCACTTGTCCGGACATTGCCTTTGTCGTTCAGCAGATTTGCCTCTATATGCATGATCCATGGGAGCCACATCTCACAGCTCTCAAGCGGATCCTACGCTACCTACAGGGCACTCTGTCCCTTGGATTGACCATGCGCCGATCTCCACCTGCAGAGCTTGTTGTTTAAATGGATGCCGACTGGGCTGGATGTCCCGACACTCGCCGGTCAACCTC